TTGACCGTCGACTCAGGACAAAACTGTCTATGCTTATATAAGGTTGACATCAGGTACTTGTGTCGTCCCGCAACAAAATCAGCGCAAAGGGATCCAAGTAGATGTCACTGAACATCGACTCACCTTGGAACAGCACTCACTTTGGAACAGCACAGCAGAATACAGCTAGGAATACGGGTAATACGACAAAAACATGAAGCAAATTGCGGATATGGCCGGGATCAAGCTATCGCGCTTGTAGCGAAGGTATTCTGGGTCGTAGACAGCTAAAGCCAACGGTTGACATGGAAGACATTACCGGAACAAGCGAAATCGACGAAGGGATAGCGGTACAAAGCTACCACGACAACGTTCATTTATTTCGTTGTTACCATCATCACCGCTGCCGCTGAGCTGTATAACGATACCTGTGCACAGTGCCGGACAAGGATCTCCCAGACTGTCGAACGACGACAAAGAGTGGTCTAAATGTCACGCAGTCTTGCCGGGCCTTCGTTCAAAGGACAGTTTTTCCCATCTTTTGCAGCTTACAGATGTTTTCGGGGACGGAGGACATCCGCAACGTTGACAAATGCTTTGGCCTCACATCTCTTGCTCATCAACACCGGAAAGATCAAGCATCGCAGACCAGTTTCGTTCCATTCCTCTTCATTTTATACTCATCTGTTGGCCTGGATTCCCGCCGTCAAGACCTGGATGATGGCTTCGTCTCTCCTAGACCCCGTTATCGTCCTGCTTCCTGGAACCCTGTTCATTTGAGTTATGCACCTTCGCATACGTAACGCCCTTCTTGGATCGCCTTGATCCCAGGCGACATCCACTTGCTCATACGCAACTTGTAAGGTGTCAAAGTAGTGTTGCCGCCAAACGACAACCGGGTCTCTTGTGAGATCTTGGTCAAAGACTTTGCAATGGTTCGCTTGTCATTTTGTTGCACCAAAACCCCCGAATGGCGCAGTCAAGAAAAGAAGGCCTTCGCAGCGGGAAACCTCGTGTGTAGTGGGGCTCCGTGAAGATTTTAGTGCAGCGATAAAGCGGTGGTGGTTTGTCTTGAGCGCCCTGAAGCCGCGTAGAGGTTAGCGGATCATTCGAACTGGTCATCGAACTCGACATCTGCACTCCCACATTCTCGAGATTAATAGCGGACATTCGGAACGACGATGATCCAAGAAAGGGCCTCATTGGTTGTGGCTCGCAAGGTGGCACAATATTGATTAGGGAGGTGTATCGAGGGCTGAATCGTCCGAGCAATTTTCATTCGGTACAATCCGTCGTGAGGAGAAGGATGAAGAATGTTTTGAGAGAATCCACTCACATGCAACAGGTAAATGTCTTCTGCAACCGAAAAATGCGACATTCAAGTCCTGCGAACCGCTCTTCGTGCTTTCTGAAGTCCCAAGAAAACTGTATTATGACGTCCAGTCAGGCAGTCTTCTGTTCTAAACGTAAGACTCGTCTCCTTGCCGATTTTGATCACTGAGCAGCGCGGCGACCCTCCGCGGGTATTGACGAGGTCCATGCGTTCAGACTTGAACAGAAAGGAGGTGGTATCTAGGTGCGTTTATTTATCCTTTCCTTGTTAGTTTCCTGACTATCTTACAATGCAGAACCAGATCCCGAGTAATTCAATCTATGTGCTGGACGTCCTATCTGATATTCGGAAGAATCCATCTGTCGGCGTCGATGTCGACGATCGTGCCCTAGCCTGCGGAGGAAACTGGGAGTTGGAGAGAGCATCGCCTGCTCCCCTCGCTCTCGGCGTATTAGCCATGGATTGATCGAAGGGAAATACTCAATTATCGAGGACGGCTGTGTCGGTTGTTTAGAGATGGGATAAGTCCTGTCGCCGGTCGATGACACACTGAACGTAATCTCCATTGTTTCCTAGCCACGTGTACATCATCTTCTTCCGCAACATCTAAAAGGTTAACCAAGGTACGATTTCGGGTCCTTTCTCGTCATAAATGCGGTCCAGTATCATTGTATGCAGCAGGACCACGAATGATAAACATACGACAGGATACGATTAGACTCACTGGCTACGGATGTTGGCGCCGATCTTCGACAATCGTCTTCCGCAAAAGAAGTGGACAAGAGCTCACGTAAGGCGGTACCTCGTCAAATCAAAATAATTACATCACAATTACACAGGTCCGTCTTCCATACTCTCTGTCATTCACCGCCAATAATGACTTTGATCACCAGCTGTCCCTTCTCATCTATCCCCTTGGCCATAGCCTCAAACGCCTTCTTTACTGCATCGACATTGAACGGCACACGGTGCGTTACGAGATCCATTATTGGAGGTATTGAGTCTAAGCAAGGCGTCAGATTCATCGCATTGCGAATACCACAGTGCTTACTGCTAGCAAGTAACTCGAGTGCTTCCTTGTATGTGTCTGCGTATCGGAAGCTCCCTATTATATCGACCTCTCGAGTGGCCGCATTATTTATGGGTATCAAAGCGTTAGATGTGCCCATTCCAATGAGAAGGACCTTTCCCCCGCTTCTCGCATTCTGATCGACATTAGCAAGAATTCGAGAAATAGGGAAAAGAAGAGGTACCCACATAGACAGCCATTTGAATACACGGTTCTGCACCAGTACATTCATATACGACATCATATCCTCCGCCAAATACCTCCGCTTGGGCTCTACTCCGCTCGAGACCGTCGACGCCCTTTGCTGGGGCCTGCGGCGTTAGACAAAAGATCTTTCCCACAAGTCCACGGGATTTTGCAAATGCCAGCCGCTGCTGGTTAATGTCAACCATGGCGATTGCTTCTACAGGCACGCCCCTTGAACGCGCGAGTCCAGCAGCCAGCATCCCAATGGCTCCAGCCCCAAATACCAGCACTTTCCGTGTGTTTTTCGAAACTCCCGCCCGTCTTGATGCTTGCAACACAACCGACAAAGGCTCCGCGAGTGCTCCCTGCTCGCACGATACCCCACGGGGCAGCACATGCACATGTTTCGCTGGGTGATTTATCCTCGTCTGCATCGTACCGTCGAGATGGGGGAACGTCTTAGCACTGCTCCGGAAACGCATCCCCTCACAGAGGTTATACCGGTTGGATCTGCACCATTCGCATGATCCACAGGGAATCCCGGCTTCGATGGCGACGTGTTGGCCGGGACGGAGGTGCGTGACAAGAGGCCCAACGGCGGTGATGATTCCCGCGGATTCGTGGCCTAGAACGAGAGGGGCTTGGAGAGCAAAGGCGCCATTACGCGCGTGAAGGTAGTAGTGCAGGTCAGAGCCGCAGAGTCCCGTGGAGAGAACGGCGATTTGGACGTGATGGGGGGGAGGAGGCGGGAGAGGACGGCGAGTAAGCCGTAGATCGCGTGGTCCGTGTAGAACGATGGATGAAATGAGGGGATCCATTGCATTTATTGGGGTACGTTGGACGTTGGTAAACGACGCTTAAATATCCTCCTTTGTCGGAAATTTCGGTCCGGAATGCAAATGAGAGACAGACATATTCCCCGAATTTGTACCAACGTTTTGTCCCTCGTTCGTGCACGGTTTCGGCTCCGTGAGCGGGGTAGCAGCCCTGAACACAAAGGTTCGTATGCTATATATCCCTCTGTGCATGCGACCTTGACGACGCACCTGCTAGGCCCTCATATCCTTTACACGAGATTTCTCAAGTGAACTGCGGTCTTCCCCGTGGTACTTGGACATCGTTTGACATCGTTTATTGAGTTTTCTGTTCCGTCAAACGGTTATCAGTTTCTGATGCTGGAAGAAGCCCCAGGAAGAGCGAGGTGGTATTGACAGTGGGTGGTGATAAGCAAGATTGTCTTTTCTCGCACAAGACTTTTCCGTCCTGTGGGAATATCCCATGGTCAGGCTCGGAGCAATGATGAAGAGTCTCGATGAATCTGGCTGACGCCTAAAGGCACGGGAAAGTCTGAAGGGAGGGATTTATGATTTTATCGGACCGTTGTATTCGGACCGTGAGATTAGGGGGACGGACGTTCGGTCCGTTGTTTTCGAATTCCTTCCACAAGAGCTCCCTTCCGAAAGACAATTGCGGGACCGATAGGCGACCACTCTCCCCCATAAATCAGAAAATATCTTCTCGTTCGACTTTCTGATATCACGGAGCAGCGAAGAGAAGAAAATAACGGAGATACAGGTGCCGCGAAATTACAGTGTGTATGCATATGGTTTACCCATCTTTCTCGAATTCGAATTCGGTCTCTCTTCTTGGGCCAGCTTCTGTAATTAATTGCCGGTGAGACTCCATCTGATTCTATCGGCTGAAATTGCTCCTTGAAGTGCTATCAAATTGTGTGTAGGTGCTCTTACACTGAACACCCCTCTCCGAGTATCTTTCTGCTGAATGATACTAACTGCTTGCCTGTCAAGTGCTTGAGAGTCTGGGGGAGGCAGTTGGAGACCAGCTGGAGCTATAGTATATAATATACAAAGTCTGTGGGACCCACTAATCATCCAGTATTGACCTCCAGATAAACTTCTTGAGTGTTTCACTTGCTTTCAACAAAAACATGTTTATTCCAATGCAAACTTGAAGAGCATACCCTTGACTTTGAAGGAATTTGAAAGGGCCAAAGAGTCAACGTGACAGAATCGCGACACGACTGTCACTTAGTCACCTGACAAGGAAACTTGCCTGACTGTTTTTTCTTCTTTTCACACCAATTGTCCCTGTCATGTTGTTGAAAGTATAGAGGAGAGTAAAGTACAGAGGATTAGATTAGCCTCTTGAGAGAGAGATATTGTACTTAAATACATCTTATACTATTTCAAGAGCTTTCTACAAATTACTATGTAAGTCTCAGTCATAGTCCAAGTCAGCTGCTGTTGATTGATGTAGTGTCTTCAAGTACATTCTTGTACTTGCTCAGGATTGCAATCCCAACACTCCCCCTCAATTCCAAGTTCCTAGAATACCTACAGATAGATACTCATGTGATAGTCTTGGTAGGCCTTTAGTGAATATATCTGCTAAGTTCTCCTCTGATGTGCAGTGCTGAACTTTGACTTTGTTTGAAGCCAAGTGGTCATGAACAAAGTGATGCTGTATGTCTATATGCTTTAATTGTGCATAGAATATAGGATTCTCAGCAAATTTGATTGCTGGTTGATTGTTGATAAAAATAGTAGTTGCACCATTAGATGACAATTCTAATTCAGTTAAGAGTGCTCATAGCCAAATTACTTTCTGGGTTGTATATGTGAGGGCTATATACTCTGCTTCTATAGTGGATAAGGCTACAGTGGGCTGTTTCTTTGAGCTTCAGATAACAGCTCTCCCTGCATAGATACAGACATAACCAGATATTGATCTTCTATCTGTTTTGTCTTCTCTCCAGTCTGAATCTGAATAAGGTATCAGTTCATCCATAGTCCCTCCATATGTGATTCTGAAGTCTAGAGTCTCCTTCAGATAGTAGAAAACTTGCTTCAAGGCTGTGACATGCCCAGCAGCTGGATTCTGCATATATTTGCTTAATTCAGTGACAGCATGTGCAATGTCAGGCCAGGATCCATTAGCTGCATACATCAGAGATCTGACACCAGTATAGTAATATTGTCTGGTGGCTATATCAATGCCTCATGGGTCTCCTGTCAAAATTTTCTCTAGCCATGTTTGGATCCATAGGTATTTTGACTGGTTTGCAGTCATTCATGCTTATTCACTTGAGTACTTTTAAAATATATGCCTTCTGAAATAGAGTGATAGTGTCCTTGTTCCAATTCCTGTCTATTTTCATGCCCAATATATATATTGAATTTCCTCTATGTCTGTGACATTTAGCTTCTTCTTAAGCTCTTCTTTCATGTTAGACATGGTTTCATCATCAAGAGCAAGATGTGTCATGTCATCAACATGTACAGCTACAATTATAGGACTAGAACTCATTTGTCTGAGGGCCTCTTGATCTGCAATCATTATGATAGCAATAATAACCAGGAGTTTGGATAAATCTGTGAGGCAGCAGACAAGGTCAGATGTATACTAGACCATTAGATGATGTGCCTGAGGTGTAACAAACCAGCTCCTCACAATTATAAAACCCCATAAAGGAGAAGAAACCCCACAGATAAGCAAACTGGACACAATGAAGCAAGACTCATACCTTTCACTCATGGAGTGGCAAGACCAAATTATTGCTGTGTATATAATAGAGTGGCATGCCAAGACTACTAATTCAAGAAGACAAAGTAGGCCTGCACTAAAGATAGATTTATTCCAAATTAATGATAGTAACAAAGAAAACATGCATGAATGCAGAGGATCAGATAAAGGAACATGCCTTTTTAGGGATGAAAGAACAAAGCAAAGGTGTGATGAGTATTGGTCACAAATGATTGCAAGCACTACAACCCCCTATGTTGTAAGGCTAGCAAACTCTCTGATGCAAGAAGAATGTGTCTGCTCTTGCAAGTTCTTTTATAATCACAAGAGGGAAACCCAATAGTTCAGAGTGAATCTGACAGAATCTGCCTGAAGCAATTGGCTCATCAGTAGTATAAGCTCTAGTGTCCACTTTTGAGGGCAGATGGACAGGTCATGAGCAGAACGTTAAAGAGATAAGGGAGAGATTACAAGGATTTGCTCCAAGCTGTCTGCTTATATGATGAGCCTCTGGGCTCTGTGCACTCTGAAATTGCAGGCCTCAATAATTATTTTCAACTTCTGCCCTTAAATGGGCTTTCAGTAAACCAACTATTTTGGGTTCAACAGCAGTAATTTTATCAAGAACTATTCATTATCCACAGACCTTCTCTTGTGTGCAAAGAAGCAGCAGAGGCAAATGAGAGAAAGGAGGTTAGGATATTTGAAGAGATGGTTCCCAAGTGGGCACAAGACTATCATGACCTATTTTTAAAAGAGAGCTTCAACAAACTCCTGGACTCAAAACCCTGGGAACATACCATGGAATTGGTGCCCAGTGCCAATGCCAATCTTGACTGCAAGATCTACCTTCTCAGTCATCTCAAACAATAAGAGCTTAACAAATTTCTGGAAGAAAACCTCACCAGTGGATGGATTTGACCATCCAAATTCCCAATGGCATCTCTCTTCTTCTTTGTCAAAAAGAAGGATGACAAACTCTGACTGGTCCAGGATTACTGCAAACTGAATAAAATGACTATCAAGAACTGCTATCCCCTCTCTCTCATATCTGAGCTAATGAATAAGCTCTATGGTGCCCAATATTATATCAAACTTGACATTCACTGGAGGTACAACAATATCAGAATCAAGGAGAGTGATGAGTGGAAAGCAGCCTTCTGGATAAACCAGAGACTATTTGAGCCCACAGTCATGTTCTTCAGACTAACTAACTCTCTGGCAACCTTTCAATAGATGATGAATGATATCTTCAAGGATTTTATCACCATGAAAAAGGTAACCATATATTTGGATGACATATTGATCATGTTAAAAGATAGGGAGGAACATCAACAACTTGTCCAGTGAGTTCTCAAGCTCATGAGGAAAAACAAGTTATTTCTCAAAGCTGAGAAATGCAAATTTAAGGTGTTGAAGACAGAGTATCTAGGAGTTATTATCAGTGAGGGAAGCATTCAGATAGATCCTATCAAGATTGCCAGAGTGATAGAGTGGCCAGAGCTGATAAAAAAGAAGGAACTACAGTCATTCCTGGAGTTTATGAACTTCTACTGTCATTTCATCTATAATTACAGCAAGATTGTGTGACCAATGATGCAACTTACTGAGAATGCTTCCTGGATCTGGGGAATATCCCAACAAGATGCATTCAACAATCTCAAGCAATAGCTGGCCAAGGATGTTGTCTTAGTGATTCTGACCCAGGATGAGAAGTTCTGAGTTGAAGCCAATTCCAGTGAAGAGGCCATAGAGGCAGTCCTATCCCAAGAGCAAATGAGGTGATAGTGACTGGTGGTGTTTCTTTCCAAGGCCCTCACAGTCACAGAATGGAACTACAAAATATACAACAAAGAGCTGTTAGCCATTATATTGACACTAACTGAATGGGGACACTATCTGATCAGAGCAACAGAAGTTTTTAAGATATAGATGGATTATCAAAACTTGCATTATTTCTGACTCTCTCAAAAACTAAACTGGCAACAAGCATGATGGATGATGAAACTCTCTGAATATCAGTACACCCTTTATCACAAAGCAGAAGCAGCCAACAAGAAGGCTGACCTACTGAGCTGATGGGCTGATCACAATCAAGGTGATGAGGACAATGATAGTATGATACTGCTGAAACCAGAACACTTCAGAGTGATGATAATGCCAACAGAGAAAGAAGTCCATGATAAGATCTGGAGTAGCATCAGACAGCTAAACCTCTGGAACTAAAGGATCACCACTTCACTAAATCATGAGTGAGACATAACCAGAAACAATGACCTCCTCTACTATGATGGACACATCTGTATCCCTCAAGTCACCTTGCTCTATGGGGAAATCATTGCAATAAGCCATGATTATATGATAGTAGGACATCCAGAGATTTCTAAAATGAAAGAGTTGGTATTGCAGGAGTATTGGTGGCTGTTAGGAACATGCCAATTGAGTGGATTTGAGTGCACATATGGAGACTAGTAGAGTGCATGGGCATCAACAAAGCTATTAGCAACATCACCCTTGAGTTGAGGTCTAAGGATTTGAATGGATGGGATGGAGTTTCATTA